CTTCCGCGGGCACCTACGGCTGGCCACCAACCAAGCACCAACACCTTCCTAGCAGACCGTGCACACACAGAGTCGGCACACATGCGACATGCAAGTGTTCCCCAAACAAGCTTTCCTGAAGTAAAAACAAACAAACAAACAACCAACCCAAACCAACCAACCACCCCAACCCTGGCCTTGCAGGTACCCAGGAAGAGTTTTTCAGCCAGCCAAGGTCATGGTAACACCATGGAACAAGTCAGTGACATCAGGGAAGGAGCAAGCAGGGATCCCGGCACAGAAACACAGAGGGGGGTGATGCAGAGCGGGGTACGGTTCGGTACCACCAGGCCACAGTATCAAACATTAATGCCCTCATCAAGGGAGGCTGCAGGTAAAGCACCGGCTCCAGGAGGGAGCCCAGGCAGCACAGCATGTTGCAGTTGGCCAATTCATCCAGAAACTGGTCATTTATTTTGGGAAAGACTGACTCCATGAAGCAAAACGAAGCAGTCAGGTCCTCCCTCACCTGCCCCCTTGGAAACCCCTCCAGAGAACAGGAGTTAGCCCTAACCCTTGGCCTCCCCTCCACCATCCCCATGCACGGACCTGCCGGAGGAGCAGGGGCTGCAGGGCAGAGACCCCGCTGGGCAGAGGGCAGCCTCGGGCTGCAGCCCCCGGGAGCCCAACGGCAGGAGGGAGATACCCGCGCACAACCCCTGGCACCAACGTTACGCGACAGGAAGGGTTGAAATGGTCCGAAACGCCCCACTGGGGTCGTGTTAAATGCTACAGATACTATTGCTAGCCCATGAGCTGAGTTCTTGCTTGGTCAGTGGTCCGAGGCAGAGCCGCTCTCGCAGAGCCCTGCGCCTGCCTGCACGCAGGCCTGCCCCTGCCAACCCATCAGGGAGGCTGCACCACTCCAGGTGTGCGGCGTTCCCTCCCGGCGGCAGCTCTGCCAAGGGTTGCATTTGGTCATTTTATTTCCATGTTTGGGTCGGTTATTCACAGCGCCCAAACGGCAGAAAAAGGCAGCATCAAAAGCAAAGCCTCATCAGCAAAACCCAGGGCAGAGCTAGCGATGCCGGACACACGGACCAGCACCTTGTGCTGCTCACTCTCAGCCCCACAGACGCTGCCAAGTGCCCTTTCCAAATAACTAAGGAGAATTTTAAAGGGAAGGCTCTCCCAGAGGCTCTGGACACAAGAGGCTTCTCATGCCACAACTTCAGACCCCCAAGAGCCCCGGGCACTCCTGCTCTCTCTTCCCTACGTCCAGTTCCTCCCTCCAGAACGCACACGCGATGAGTGAAGAACCAGGACACCCAACTCCCAGCAGGCATCTACGGAGCCTCCTCCAGAAGGCAGAGCTAGTGCGGTCAGAAGCATCTGGTCGGGATGAGGAGCTCTTCCATTCTGCCTCCCCTCAGCTCTTCTATCCAAGTACATTTAAAAAACAATGGAGCAATACAATTGTTTAAAACCAAAGTTGTCTGCTTTTTTCCTGTGGTAGTAGGTGGTCTTGTCTGCTCCTGCCACCAGGACAAGAAGAAGAGGCTGTAGCCCAGGGCTACTGGTTTTCCTCACGCATCTGTTCCATGATGTTGATGAGGCTTTCCAGCCCGAATACATAACCCATGTCGGGTCCGTCATGCACAGTGGGGTCATCACGAAAGCCTTTGAACGTGCTGTGCGCAAAGTCAATCATACGCACATCCACCTTGGGCTGGGCCGAGGAGCCGGGCTCCGTGCTGCCGCCATCCTGAAGGCTCTCTGGGAGAGAGCTGTCCACCCGCTTCAGGCGCATCTCTGGCCGGCGCTCCACGAACATCCCTGCCCTGCTGTCCTTCCCATCGTAAATGATGAGAAGGGAGCTGGAGTAGAAGCGGTAGGAGGCCTGTCTCTCCAAAACCGCCTTCAGGCTTCGCAGTTTGGCGAGGATAGGCTCAAAGAGGTCCTTGCGCAGCTCAATGCCGTTGTGGAGATACTGGTAGAGGGCATTGCGGAAGCCCTCAATGGAGAGACCGCGTCCATAGTATTTATTCCTGCATAAGTAATGCCCTGTGTCCAGCTGATAGACCTAGAACACCAAAGGAAGCACACATCAAGTGGGAGCAACAGGTTAAAGTGGCTCACAAAGAGCCCTGAGCTGTCCTGCACTGACAGGGCAGAGGGAACTCTTCTGTCCCCACCACACCCAAGGGGGAGGCAGAAACACCTCTGCCTGCTCCCTAAATCCCAAAGCAGCTCATGGGCACCCTGACTGTGCGCATGGGATGCACCCAAGCACTGGTTCTCTCCCAGGACACTCAAAAGGTGGCGGCATCAGTCCGAGTGTCCCCAGGAGGCATTGCACAACAGAGCCCAAGGCTCAAAAAGCAAACTCTTACAGCAACTCGGACAATCCTCTGGCAGCTGGAGCTGCTGGCACATACTGCCGTTATTATGTGGCATGTGATTAATGAGGAGCCCTTGTTGCTTCAGAGGCTGTGGGCAGAGATCTGGATTACAAGATCCTCTGTGAGTGCAGAAAGGAGCAACTATTGCACAACAGCACCAGCAGTAAATCCTTGGGTGTGGGGCCTGCCCACAAGAGAACAACTTTTTATCTCTCAGTAAAGTACAGAAGTACACGTCAGCTGACACTGGAACAGAGGGACACCTCCCTTCCCCGGCACCAATGACTCCAGCTGAACACTGAGCCACAAAAATAATTTTACTAGAAAATCTCCTACTTGTCTGCAGACAAAACAGCTTTGGATAGAGCAGGCCATCTCAGGAGAAGCAAGTTCCTCTGTTCTAGGCTTAGAAACGAAGACAAAAAGCACGTACTACGAACACCAGTGTACCTACCTGAAGCAGCAGACTCTGTCACTCAGTGCTCAGCAGAAAACACTAACTGGGAGGTCTAACGGGGCTGCGAAAAGGAACATGCAGCACCAAGCCTTGGGGACCCCTACCTGCATCCCACACACACGCACGCCCAAGGTGGCAGAAGTGCTCTGTTCACACTTTTTCATCTGCCGAGCAGCCTTCTCCTCAGACGCATCATCTCCATGCTGTCTGGTCCCCATCTTCAGATCAAGTACGCAGGGAAGCTTGAAGTGATGCACCACGTTCTCCAGCAAAAGGAACTCTGGGAGATGTGTTAAGGAGAGGTCATGTGTCAGAGACACTGTCCCCCAGGGCCACCACAGACAGGGACTTGGGCCAGCATGAGATGGGGTTGGGCAACAAACAAATAGGAACTGAAGAGCAAACAGAACAAACCATTTGGGAAGGTGAAGAAAAGGACAAAGCCCAAACAGTGACACCCAGGCTTTGACAGTCAGTATTAGAAATCAGCCTGGAAAGTGGAATGGCCAACAGTAAGCAAGGAGACCACATGCAGGCGCACTGGTAACTCAGCAGCAGGAACCAAAGAGCAAAACGCTTGTGTCAGGAAAGACGCAGTATGCCAGTAAGAACTGCTGATGCATTAAGGGAGAGCTTAAAGTCTAATCAAGTTAGCAATTTGACCATATGGATAAACAATACAATCCCCACGGACTGAAAACTCCAGGCCCACATAATAGCCCAGTACTGCTGCTATTGGCCTGCCCAGAACAGCAATGCTGCCCGACACGCAGGGGGAAATCGGAGAGGCTACAAAGGCAGGAAACAACAGTAACGGGAGCCTTCGATTCCCAGCACGCACAATGGGCAAGCCCTCCTTTGGGGCACAGCGCTGAGAACAAACTTGAGACAATCAGTGCAGCAGCTTGTCCCAAAGGAGAAAACACAACCCTGAAGTTTGCCCCAAGTAGCCCTTCAGGGCACGGTTCAACGTGTTGCGCTGAAACGGCAACCAGAGAATGGCTAGGTGGAACCTGCAAGGAAGTTTAATGTTCAGAAAAATCTGTCATCAACTATGTTTGATTTTGAAAGAGGAACTTCATAAAAATAAGGAAGTGTGATTAAAAAGAATAGGACAGCCGAAGAGAATTACTTCTCTGCAAGTGATGCAGTGCAGGCTATTTAAAAATAAAAGCTGGAGGCTCAAAGCACAGAAGTTTGAGAATAGGAAAAGGAAGGCCACACAGTTAAAATGATGAACAACACAGCTATTAAAAGTAAGTTTGTTTCCATGTGAGGAAAATAGAATCAAGCTCCAGCAGGTGAAACAAAAAAACCCACCCAAACTCACAAGCTGGCAAGTTCAAGACAAAAGCACGAGTCGTCATTTATGAAGGCACAGAAAATAACAAATCCATCTTCAATCATACTACGAAGCCACCCAGACTGCCCAAAGAGTTTAAAGATAAAGCACAAAAGGAGCTACAGGGGAGGGGGGTGGGATGGGGGGGGCGATGTGAAGAGACTCCTTAAAAAGAGAAATAAGATTCATATTTTGCTTCTTTGTTTACTGGAGAAGACTTTAGGTGATTTCCAAAGCCAGAACTCTGAGTTCAGAGAAATCTCAAGCTGAAATGCCAAGAGAAGAGACGGCACGTCAAACAGAAAATGAGAGATGTATTTAACACTGCCTGGATACCAGGAGTCTGAAGCAGGGGCTACCGCAACGCCGATTCACGGAGACCTGGGGAACCAGAAACCAGCCTGACTGGTCCTACAGCCAAAGTCACCGTCAGAGTCTGTGTGTGCAGATTCCCGCTGCTCAACAAGTCATCCAGAAGAGTGAGAAGACATATTTGCTCAAAGTACTAAGTTACTCAAGGTTGCAAAAACAAGGAAGTTGTGAAAAACTCCAGAAGGATCTTAAGAGACCGACTTGGCCATTAAACAGGCAGGCAAAGTTCACTATGTTTACACACATGATGAACATAAGGAGAAAAGATTCTTCATGCATAAAGCAATGTGTTTGAGATGACCATTACCAGTCAGGAATGGGATCTTGGAGTGGTAACAGTATTTGGAACAAGAGAGTGTGTTAGGAATTATGAGGGAGAGGAGAGACAACAGCATTAAGCACCACTGGAAGTCTGTTCCACCTGCATGTTCCATATTGCACACAGTGGTGGTCACTGTCTCCAGAAGGATACAGTAGAACTGGAAGAGACTCAAAAAAGGTGACAAGGACAAAGAGAGCTTCCTCCCAAGGGATTACTGAACAGGACAGACCTGCACCTGCTGCCGGGCAAAGCCTGACACAAAAAACTACAGTTCAAAACACGAGCCAACAAAGAGAAGGACCAGAGAAGAGAGAAAACACGGGATCTAGTCAGAAACATGGCTTCTCTGAGTGTCGGACATTAGTGCCGCCGTATGGGAGCAGGAAGGAACAGTAAAAGAAACACGTAGTTCAGCTTTGGTTGTGTGAAGGACAGGAAAGCCGAAGGAAATGCGGGCCTAGCTGCCTCAGGCATAAGGGCAGGGCAGCAGCAGCCTGGCACGCTCAGCTCTGCTTCCCAAAGGATACTGTAGAGTTTTCGGTCCTTGGACTCCGACCGCATGCGGCTCAGCTGCTGCTTATGACAGCGCAGGCTCCAGGGGTTATAGCTGATCTTTTCAGAGCTCAGACCGCTGTTCCCATCCAACATCTGAAATGGAACATCTGAATGGATGTGCAAGTCCACCCTGGGACTCTTTGTCTCCTGGATGCTGCTGGTACAAACACAGAACAAACTTGCCTGTTAGAATCCATGCGTTCTCCAGATTCTTAGGACTGTCACACCCTCCCCTTGCACACAGCCATTTCCTGTCCCTTCTCCTGCTGCACGCTTCACACAACACAAGCCTTCTTAACAGCAAATCCTCACTAATACCCTGGGCTGTGGACCATGCTCAAGGATGTGGTCTATCTAACATCTCTGCTAGGTTGTGCTGTAATTTATAGAGTAAGCAGAAGCATTTGTTTCTCAGGGAGCTCCAGCTGGTGTGAGGAGGCAAAGACCCGTATTCAAGGTACCCTTGGAAGAAACGTCTGGATTAATAAACAGATTGACTGAAGAGCGTTTGAATCTGCTTTGGTTCCACATGCAATAAACTACCAAGGGTTATCCCATGTCAGAAGCATTTCAGGTGGATGAAATGTCCTGAACCCAGCAGAATTCCTGACAGTTTGCAGTGCCCCAGTGTGCTGGGCTACTGAGTGCCCAGCCACTGTATGGAAGTGCAAAATGCCCTCAACAAACGGAGCACCAGAGCTGAAAGGGGAAAACAGATTTCCCGCTCCTCATGTTGTCACTGGGCCCTCAAAGCTTTACCTTTCGGTGCTGTCACTGGCCAGGCCAGGCTTTTCCTCCTTGTGCTCAGTGCCGCTGCTTGATCTGTGAAGGCTCCGACGCGAGTGCTTGCGTCGTGGCTGGTCCCTCTCTGGCATATCATCCTGCTCCAGAGCCTCGTTCTCCACATAGGGATAGGCCACCAGATTAATGTAACCATCGCTGTCTCCCTCAAAACAGACAGATACTACACCTGCCAGAGAGAAGTGACATGTCAGTTCTGTTTCCTGAGGGGGGGAAACACAACCACTAGCACCCAAACATCCAAAAGGAGAGAGGAAAATGTAGCTCACAGAGCAGTAAAGCAAATCCAGAGCAATGAAAGGAGGTTTAAGACTACAAGGACTCAAATGTTGTTAGCACAGCACAGAGAAGAAATCTCCCAAATAGTGCTCTGGGTCGCTACCTGAGCGAACAGTCGGCAGCAGCAGGGGAACCTCTGCCACTCACAAGAAATCAGGGACAAAAGCGCAGCTGGTAGGCTGAGGGGTGTGATTATTTCCTTCCGTTCAGTCTTGCAGCAAATGTCATCAAGCTGGAGAACATCAAGCATGGTCTGCCGAGACGTTGAGGGGAACAAAGCATACAAAATATCTATCTGGTTCATTTAGGTAACTACGTACTGCAGAAGC